CATCTAACCAACTGTGGGAGTCTTCCTGAGGCCTGGTTTTTGAATCCTCCACTTCAGGTGCTGCAACTAATCCAGACTGATGTTCGTGAGGGCATAGGATAGCTCCAGTTGCTTGTTCTTTTGTTGTAAGTAATTCTTTTGTATGTATGTTATATGATTGACCAAAAAATAAATTTATTTGTAAATTTTAATATTAAATGGAGCTCCCTTTCAATGCAATGATTATATTGAATTAAATTTTAAAATGAAGCCGAAATAGCAGTTTTCAAATATCATTAACGCTATTCGGAGAAGCATCAAAGCATATTCAAGGAAGGTTCATGAAACAGGCCGAGGAATAGCATGCGACAACTACAAGTTTGTTGTCAAGATTAGAATACATTGATTTAGGAAAAAGTAGTTATTGCACATTCACACACACTAATTTTTATTTTTTTAATGCTGTTTTCACACACACACTAATTCGTCGATCGTCACCATTGTGAATCAAACAAACTTCATGCCATTGAGGTCATCTGATCTATATCATTTTGGACTATTATAATTATAATGTTTGTATTTAGTTACTTATCGAAAATAAAAAAATATGTTTGCATTTAGTCACTTGCCCACTGTATGTATGTGTGTATGTGTTTTACTTTAATTTTGTTCAGATCATTGAGAATTTTTAAAAATTGGGTCTTTTGCAAATTTTTTTTGACAGTTATTGAAATCAACCCAGGCATTGCTAAATTTCGATGGTCTTAATCTGACATATAATTTTTTTTATATATATATTGTATCAAATCCTATTAATCATACCTTCTGGGAAAAAAAAGTCTTATAAATCAAAAGGGAAAAAACATATTTTAACTTGATGTTTTTAACAAAAAATTCTGATTAGATGGTTAGTTAGTTGTTCTATCTTTGGTCATTCGGTCGGCAACATCATACTCTTTTGTGTTCTTGGTCCATTTGATTTGGTGAAAAAAGTGGAGATAGAAGATAGGGAGATGAAAATAAAATGAAAACATTCCACCACATGCAACTTCTTCATTATTGGGGTCCATAAAATGACTGATTGGTGCCGACATTTATTTTTAGCTTCTAATTGGCTGGACAAATTCACGAAAACTATAAGGTATCTTTAAATACATTTTTTTTCTTAATTTTACTCAATTAAATGTATTGTACGTGAATAAGAGATCCACTTATAAATAGTGTATCTTAATTAAATTTGTCATAGTGAAGTTGAACAAATGTATATATTGTGGAAGAGATTTCCCTCCCACAATTTCTTGAGGAAATCATGGATGGGCTGAAATGAGTGAGAATAGAGAGCTTATTGGAGATACTCTTAGGCCTCTATTCGAGTTTTTCACCAACTCCATGTCTTGAAAAATCTTATTTCCCAAACCATGCAGTTTCAATCTTGTTTCATAAACTTAGATACTTTTAAAAAAATCTGATTCTAAAGGACATCTTTTGGGTAAAAGGTCATTCTAAATGACATCTTTAGACAACACATCCTAACCACACAGATGGTTTTCAAGTAAATCATAAAAACCTCATTTGATACAACGTTTTTCAATCACATTTACCAAAACTACTTCAATTTAAGAAATAAATTTAAAAATGTCCTCATTTGAGAAATAAGAATTCTAGGGTATGTGATTGGAGAAAAAATGGGCGATATCATATTCCAAACACCATGCACTTAAATTATAGATCAAAGCCTCTCTCAACCATCTTTTAAATACAACACAAGTTGGTTTTGAATATAACCGACTTCGCTAAATTTTAAGGATTTGGCATTTAGTTTGTGTCAGGTTTTGTATATTAAAAAGTTTTGGAGAATAAATACCTTGACCAGATATTATTTTGTACCTTCAAATCACCGAGTCAAGGTGGTAGTTATTGATATGATGTTGGTATTTGGGTTTGGATCTGAATCGGGGCGCCCATGGACGGGCACAAGCCGAATAAGATAGTTAGTGAGTTATTTGAACTCAAAAGATAGAAGACTTGCCCTTGGATTAGGAGTTCCCTTTTATCAGGATATGACCAATCCCTTGCTATCTCCTTATGTGAGGAGGTTAGTTTTCTCACATTGAAAACATAGAGAGGTTGGGGTTGATTCCATGAAAAAAAAGGCCTGACAAAAATCTCTCTATTGCTGCCATTGAAAACTAGATAGATTTTAGAATGGTAGAAATCTAAGTGTGGCTCTTGCAGCCTTTGTTGGAAATTAATCTTCGTAGCAATTTGGTTAGTACAAGGACCAGAAAATAAATAAACGGAATAAAAATAAAATAAAATACAACTCATTACACAAAGATTTATGTGGTTTAGAAAAATTATTTTGCCTGCGTCCATGAGACGTGATCCGGTCTTCTTTCTTTATTATTGAGAGAAAATAGGTACAATGGTACAAGCCTCACTATTCAAGAGTAAATCTAAAACCCAAGTAGGGCCGGCCCTATTCTATAAAAATAAAAGCGTGAGCTTTAGGCTCCTATATGAAAAAGGCCCTAAATTTAAAAATTAATAATGTAATATATGCTAAAAAATAAAATTTACTATAATATAGCCTAACAAAATAATTTTTGAAAGAGTAAACCAACAAAAAAATTAAAAATTTGGGCCCAAAAATCCAGACCACCTCACACAATCACATTTATTAAGGGGCAAAAAAATATTAACAAAAAAAAAGTATTGACAAAATCCATCTCTTTTTCCAATCGAAAGAAACATAATAAACATCTCTATTTAGTTAAAAAAAAATCAAACCAAATACATTCTCCACTTCTCTTAAATTTGTTTTTTTTTCTCACTTGAACTCAAAACACCAATTAAACCATTCATTCCCATTAAAAAAATGTTTTGATAAATTTCTTATTCATAACAAATAAAATATAACAAAAAATTGGGTGAAAGTTGCATAGATAAATAAGTAAAATTCAAAGATAGTAAAATAATTCTAAAGAAAAATAACAATGAATTTATTTATAATAAAATAAATCATCTAATACCACAGTTTCGATAAAGAACAAATAAAACAAATAAAAAGATCAAAAAAATATTAATAAATTAATTAATTTTATTCCTATAAACATTTATGTTCAAAAGTCATTGATCAAAAAAATATATTAGCAAAATTTGAATAAAAAAATAATTAGCAATTTCAAATCTCATCAAAAAGTAAAATATAATGGATTTTAAATTAAAAAATTAAATTATTGTTAAAAAAATCTCATTGGNAGTCATATTATTGATCAAAAAAAATATTAGCAAAATTTGAATAAAAAAATAATTAGCAATTTCAAATCTCATCAAAAAGTAAAAAATAATGGATTTTAAATTAAAAAATTAAATTATTGTTAAAAAAATCTCATTGGCCATCATTGTTTTAGACACCAAATGTTGTTGAGCCACCCCTGAACCCAAGTTCTGAACTCCTTGTACAACTCACTTAACCTTACCCTCTCAAACTCCCAATAAAGAAAACATCTTGTACTCTCAACAAGAGAATAAAAATTAATCAATACATTTGATTGCCCCACTTGTATCATCCAATAAGATTTTAGTAATGATATCATCTAACAAATTACAATGGAACCCTCATCTCATTCAAGCAATGAAATTGCTCCACTTATACTCCAATAAGTTTTTAGTAATGACATCATTTAACCAATAAAATATATTTTTTTTGGCAATGATGTCATCTTACNTAAGTTTTTAGTAATGACATCATTTAACCAATAAAATATATATTTTTTTAGCAATGATGTCATCTAATCGATCAAAACAAAATTTGAGCCACAACCAACAGCCTCGCCTACCCCAAGTTTTTGGTTTATGGTTGTTCATTATCGTCAAATGATGGAATATTGGAACATGTGAAACACTCATGTCAAGATCTTCAGATGTGCAATTGGGTAAAGAATCGGAGAAGGTAACCCACGAACCCCATATCACTTTCACATATAATGTTTGTTTTAATTATCCTTCTTATGATGAAGTCAATACTGGGAGGCCAGAACTTTAAGCCTTTTTAAACCCCACGTGTGAAACACACAAGAAAAAGGTAACGAGTTCCACATAGAAAAACCAAATAAACTACAATGAGTTGATATAAAAATTGGAACAAATACGAGCTTAAGCCAAAGTTTTTGAACCAAGTTTGAGTCTCATTGTATATGGTTTCAGCTTCTATCAAGAGTATCTGAGCCCAAAAAATTCTAAAGACGTGTTTGAAAAATTGGGTAGCAAACAAGTGTGACACCTACATCAAAATTTGGGTGAAATGGAGTTGGCATGGGTTCCATCCAAATAAACTTACAAAAAAGTGGAGAGAAGTGATCCATAACATAATCAAGAAAAATGTGGTTCACACATGAAGGGATAATTGGAACCCAAAAGTGAACATAGTTAGGAGAAAAGGAGAGCAGTCTCACTGAATGTCATACAAACTAACTTGAGTTCCTACACAATGGGTGGACCAACTATTGAACTCGAGGATAAATTTTCGAGCCAAATTCCAAACCAATCATATATGAAACCAGATTCTATCAATTATGAGCTAATTATACAAGATAATGAACTTTCCCTTTGTTTCCCTGTGCAATTTTTTCCTTCCTTTTTTCTTGACTAAACAGCCAAACTGTCAAAGAAAATTCAGTTCCGAACTCGAAATCACTTCCGCATATAAGGTTATTATAATTATCCATCACATGATGATGCCAATACGTGTGAATGCACACACACACACACACAAAAAGGGTACTGATCAATTCCATGTAGACAAACCAAATAAACTAGAATGAGTTGACGTTAACATGGCAATCCAAAGGGATTAATATTGTCAGGTGCATGCAAAGTGAAGCCTGTGTATTAGCAATCATGATATTGTGGAGTATAAAGATAGTAAATTTATGCGGGTAATGTTAAAAGTTAGGTCAATATCCAATCCACCCCTTCAAAATTTGTTGATTTACGGAACAAGATAACCAAGCAATAATTCACTTAATAATTTATTTTCAAGTACATTGGAAAGTCACAGACACAGAGAAAACAACTTCGTTTGTGCGAGCCCATAAGCATTAGACTCATCACTTTTATTGAAACCAATATTAAACTCACTTCCACACAATTTAGCTTACAAAATGGATTGAACAATAATACAAACAAACCATTTTGATGATCACAACTTCTTTTTAGTCATTGCAACAGTGACATTGATGAACTCAGTTCTCTCTTTGGACATTTTATCAGCCAAAATCTTCCTGTACCTGCAGAACACCTCGTCAATTATTGCTACGCCAAAGTGACTGAGAAGCAAGGGTTCAGCCACAGCTCTCATGCACTGTGCAACATTGTATCCACCATCCTTGAAGGCATTTGAAGGACAAAATTCATTGTCGTAAGCATTCCAGTGAACTTTAGAAATCTCGAGACGGTCAATCCCAAAAGATCCTTCTATTTCGACCTCTGATTTTATTTCTGCTGGAGACGGTGTGTACTGGGGGATGTTGAATGAATCTAGTTTCTTCTCTTCTATAAGGCCCTGCATTGATGTTAACATAAGTAAAAGGTGCATGACTTTATGCATCTCAAGTTGAAATAGTCTAGTTATCTTGATCTAACCATGTTTTTTTAATGAAAGACAAAAACATCCTACCCTAAGTGTGAAATGTGTACTTCCTTAATCTCTTGGGTTGTGACAATGTTATGCTTACTAGATAGTTTTCATCATTAAAACCATTTTTGGATGAAAAAAAAATTGTTTTTGATCATTTCATATGCCTATCAATTTTTTTGTAGCTTTTGAACGGTGAAAAGTTTTTGCATAAAAGTTTCGCAACTTTTGGGCCCAAAATTGGTGTAATTTAATTTCATGCAAGTCCGATTGGGATTTGCATACAACCAATTTCAAGTTTTTTTTTTCTTTTTGAATTTCTCTCAAGTTCAATTATTCACCATGATGAGTCAACCATCCACCGTTTAAATTCATTGGATCTTATCGAATGTCAATAAGACCTATAAAAATACAATAGGGAGACATAATTTGTATAATAAATGAATAAGTAAACTCCACTAAAATTGATAAACTTCAAAATTGTGAGGATTTGAACCCATTTTATATCAAAAAAAGAAGGAAAACAAATTGGGTTTTTAGTGAAAGATTAGTATACCTCTGAAACCATTTCATTGAGAGCCATAGCTAGAAGCTCCCAAATGTAACAACACTCTTTGCTAGAAGGATCTTCACTTTTCCTCCCAAGAATAGTTAGAACCATTCGGCCTCCGGTGACTAGTTCCTCCGAACGACACTTTAGGAACAACGAGAAATCTCTTCGAAATTGCTCATAGTATGCTTGTAGCACGCTTGGCGGGCTTGTACTTGCCATGTAAATGTTGCTTTTGTTATTCTCTATCCCTTCAGGAACCTAGTAAATCAAGAAACTTGCAATTATATTTATCTGGACACACGTATAATATTATTTATTTTGGGTTAGACTTGCACAATTTTAGAACAATATCTAATTTGAGATTTGTAATCTACCCTTAAGTCCAACCATACTCATTTGTGATCCGCTCCAACCAAGGTGACATTAGATTTTGGATGATAACTCTTATTATGCTAGCTGCACCAATGACCTAGTTGGACGGGGATGCATCAAGCAATGCACAGACTATGTGGCATCCAGACCACGAGAGTCGGTGACTGATATTATTTTTTTAATGTTGTGATCCTTGTTGTACGATAATATTATCCGCTTTGAACTAGACCTATCGGCTTAAAATGCCTGACACAATAAATATGCTAAAAAGTAGAGAAAAAAACACAAAGTAAAATGTTTTCTTTTTCAATTACCTGGGACAGCCATTGAAGACTATAAGAAGAATGGACGAAATGCAGACTTTTTGTAGCAAAAAGCCTACCATAAAATGAACCAGGGACTCCAGAGAAAAAACAAGGTCCATATCCGGATCCCATCTGTTCTGTCAGTTTTCCTTGGAACCTCGGCAAAGACCGAAAAATCGTGTTAAAATCATTCCCGGGAAGGTCATTTAAGAATATTTGAAACTCTGGTGAGTGGTTTCCCATTTTTCGGCATAGTTTGTCAACTGCTTTGATGAGCTCAGAGACCACTAGCAAAGTGTTTGGACCAGAGGAACAACCCAAGTCTGCAATGGACAAGGATTTAGGGAAAGTACTGCAGTAGAGATCAATAATGGCTTCTTTTGTTATCGGCTCGGTAATGGATAACACCTTTTGCTGTACACGAGACACAATTAATTAACAAAATTAATCTTCGAAATCAAATGTCAATCTCACAAGCATTGTTATATTAATCAAATCATTTACCAAATTTTATATAGCAGGTTGTGGCTTTAAATGATAGCAATACAACCCAGTTAGTTAATAACTTTAAATTTTAGGGATTTTTCTTGTATGTTTATTACCATTTTGAAAATTCATAGAGGGACCCAATTTGTTATATTTACTTAAATATTTGTTAAAAAGGTATCAAAATATTTTCGGATATCATATAATTTCTTAGAGCCACATTATTTTCTGTGGTATTAATTAAACGACTTTTTTGGAGTTTGATAAACTAAGTCCGAGAATGTAGAAAACTGACTGACAAGTGAAAATGACCTATTCCTTTTTCAAAAGTAATACACGAGGAAAAGTGACATAGTTGTCAAAAGGGACATTTAATAAAATATTATCGTCAAATTGGTAGGGAATCTACCGCCAATCAATGGACCATATCTATAATATCCTGCAAATGTGAAATTCTGGATGACAAAAATTAGGTCTATTAAACGTGTCAATTGAGACCACTTTGTGGAATGATTTCGTGTCAAAAAATATTTTATTTATATTGGATTTATTTATATATTAATGTTTTATTCATTTATTAATCGTGTCGCGTTGAGTCCACTCATTTACGAAATGAGCGACTTAAGAAAAATTCAAATCCTCTAATTTAATGTCGAATCTGTATCGTGTTATATTTTGACACCCCCTAAAAAAACAATTGTATGCTTTGCATGGAGTATGTAGTAAGCACAAATGTATTAATCTAACAATTATAATGAATTATATAAATAATTTAGATCCTAATAATAAGGCAAAATAAGTTTATTTTTTTCTGTTACCAATCTCAATTCTGCAGGTAATAACGGTTGTGTACTTTGCGTTAGATCTGGAAGAAGCACGGATACATTACATTTTGAATGGACATGCATACCTGAACTAATGAGTTGTTTGCATAACTTGCATCTCCAATTCCTCCATTCATGTGTAGAACTTCAATCACTTCCATCTCTCTCTCTCTCTCTCTCTCTCTCTCTCTCTCTCTCTCTCTCTCTCTCTCTGACACACACACTCCCTCCCACTCTCTCTCTTACTTTGTTGGGGGTGTTTAAGGGGGGTCTCCGTATTTATAGAGACACCCACATCTCTTACGAAGAGGGTGGTGATTATTTTGGTTTCTTTTAATAATTTCCTTTCAATTTTTATGTTGTCAACATCATGAAGTCGTCTATAAGTAACATTTACCTTGGAAAGGGAAGGCCCACACCATTCCCATTATTCCACTAAGTTACGTATAATGTATGAAAAAATATTTTGGCAACACTCAGTACTCCTTTCAATCAGCACACAAGTGTCCAACTGAGCATTACTTAGTATTTTTTTTTTTTCAAGTTGAAGCTTGCATTACTTTAAAATATACTGTCTAGTGAAAATGTAATACTCAAACTTATAAAACGACTCACACACATCACCAAGCGACGTAAAATTTGATCATCACATGCTTGCTTCTCATGGGTATATTTAATATGGTACAATAATGAGTATATAGACAAATTAAATTACTTGGTGGAACATGTTTTTCGATTTCTGATTCTTATCAACATTATACTACATTTTTATTTGATGTAGCTTGTTACATGGGTCATTAGTGACGTTGTCAAGTATGCAATAATTTGTAAATCTTGGGACTTTGACAACCAAGGAATAGAACCCTCAATTGCTCTCATTTTAGGTATATGGTTTTAATTATCTACACTTTCAATATCTACGAAACACCTTGTCTATTCATCCTATTTTATCATATCCAAAATATAATATGGTTTAATAGAATGACTGCGTGTTTAGTCACAATGACACTTGGAAGAAATTTCACTTTAGTTTTGTTTATCATTGAATTTNGGGAAAGTACTGCAGTAGAGATCAATAATGGCTTCTTTTGTTATCGGCTCGGTAATAGATAACACCTTTTGCTGTACACGAGACACAGTTAATTAACAAAATTAATCTTCGAAATCAAATGTCAATCTCACAAGCATTGTTATATTAATCAAATCATTTACCAAATTTTATATAGCAGGTTGTGGCTTTAAATGATAGCAATACAACCCAGTTAGTTAATAACTTTAAATTTTAGGGATTTTTCTTGTATGTTTATTACCATTTTGAAAATTCATAGAGGGACCCAATTTGTTATATTTACTTAAATATTTGTTAATAAGGCATCAAAATATTTTCGGATATCATATAATTTCTTAGAGCCACATTATTTTCTGTGGTATTAATTAAACGACTTTTTTGGAGTTTGATAAACTAAGTCCGAGAATGTAGAAAACTGATTGACAAGTGAAAATGACCTATTCCTTTTTCAAAAGTAATACACGAGGAAAAGTGACATAGTTGTCAAAAGGGACATTTAATAAAATATTATCGTCAAATTGGTAGGGAATCTACCGCCAATCAATGGACCATATCTATAATATCCTGCAAATGTGAAATTCTGGATGAAAAAAATTAGGTCTACTAAACGTGTCAATTGAGACCACTTTGTGTAGTGAATTCGTGTCAAAAAATATTTTATTTATACCCGATTCATTTATATACTCATGTCTTATTCATTTATTAATCGTGTCGCGTAGGGTCTACTCATTTACGAAATGAGCGACTTAAGAAAAATTCAAATCCTCTAATTTAATATCGAATCTGTATCGTGTTATATTTTGACACCCCTAAAAAAAACAATTGTGTGCTTTGCCCGGAGTATGTAGTAAGCACAAATGTATTAATCTAACAATTATAATGAATTATATAAATAATTTAGATCCTAATAATAAGGCAAAATAAGTTTATTTTTTTCTGTTACCAATCTCAATTCTGCAGGTAATAACGGTTGTGTACTTTGCGTTAGATCTGGAAGAAGCACAGATACATTACATGGAATTGAATGGACATGCATACCTGAACTAATGAGTTGTTTGCATAACTTGCATCTCCAATTCCTCCATTCATGTGTAGAACTTCAATCACTTCCATCTCTCTCTCTCTCTCTCTCTCTCTCTCT